CTCGGCGCGGGCTGCGCGGACAGCGCGCTGGGCTGCTGCAGGCCGCGCGCGGGTCGCGCGAGGCAGTAGCGGGCCGCGTGCGGCTCGGCGCGGGCTGCTGCGGGCCGCGCGCGGGCCGCGCGAGGCAGTAGCGGGCCGCGCGCGGCTCGGCGCGGGCTGCGCGGGCTCGGCGCGGGCTGCGCGCGGCTCGGCGCGGGTAGCAGCGGGCCTGTAGGGGCGGCGCGCGGGCCTTACGGGCCTGCAGGGGCAGCGCGCTGGCCTAGGGCAGCAGGAGGCAGCGCTAGGGCTGCTGGACGGCGCGCGTAGTGCAGCACGTCACAAGGCAAGGCAAGGCAGGCAGGTACGTGGGGTAGCGCGGTAACCGCAGCGGTAGGTGGGCCCGAAAAAAAACGGTCCTACGGACCTTAGTGCTCTGATACCATGTTAGAATCTAGCAGCAGGAATGAATGAACTAGCAGCATGCAGGAGTACAAGTAGTAAACCCTAATTGGGTTGTACCCTATATGGGCTACCCCACTACAGCCTAGACAATATGCAGCATATATGTTTGACATTGTCGCCAGGGCAAAAAAAAGCTACTGAGGCGGGTCTGTCTGAGGCTCGAGGAGCCCACTGCACACAGGCTAGACAAGTGCGGAACCCGCACCCAGAAACAAACATAAGAAGAGGGGGAGGGGTTTGGTGATGACCCCGTCTGCCAGTCGAGCAACAGGTGCACCGGTGCGCATCGCGCACGGAAACAAAGCCCCACGTATGCCTTTCCAGCCAATCAGAATCCAAGGTGGTGCCAATACACAGGTGAAACGAGATGGATACACCATGCACCTCGGCCAAGAACCGGTACCGTATAATGGGGATAAGGGGGAATGTGGGGGTTCGGATTCGGGGGTACATGTATCCACTGTACAGAGTAAACGCGGTATTCCGGAAAGCTACCCTAGCCCTTCAGAGTGCCCCTACACAAAAACTCTGACACATCAGAGAAAAAGTAACTCTCAAAAAATTACCCAGCAGGTACAGAGTGCCCTATAAAAAACCACTCTGATTTTTAGAGAAACAGAGCAAATTACACTGATAAAAAAAGCCCTGGCCGGGACCTAGTCCAAGGGAGGAACCTTGGGCTGGATTGCCGCCAATAATACCCGAGTGGCGTGGTGGCTTCCCGAAGGCTTGACTTCGTGGTCCTCAAGTGCCACTTAAATGGCTAACGGGAGAATCGCTTATGGGTTTTTTTTTTTTTTTTTTTTTTTTTTTGGAAGCAAGGGCATGGCCTCGTACAATGTCATTATTACATTAATATATTAAGGGCCACTAGGGCCTACACACAAGCATAGAGCATGGCCACCAGGCCCACACACAAGCAAAGAAATAAGGGCCACCAAGGCCTACACACACACATGCAAGAAAGTGATAGGCGCCCCCGCGCTCTCCCCTACACCCATGAGCAAGCAAAGGACCATGGGTCCTAGGACCCCGGGTCCTTGCCCTCCCTAGGCTGGCCCCTGGCCTTTGCACCCCCTGGTGCAATCGCATCTGCCCCTCCCGGGGTTAGTTCGAAGGCCTCACGCCTTGAGCATATGGTGGTGACACCCATCACACCACGGGTGCGGGGCCTTGTGCGCCCGGGCCACCCGAGGGGCAAGCATTCGCCATATGCCCCATCTGCCCACAACGAAAGCAAGAGCCCTTAAAGGGCCGGGTGCTGCATGCACCGGGGATGGATGCCTTAAGGTTGAACGGTGTCGTCTCGCGTGCGTGGCTTCGGGTGCCGCGAGCGTAGGGGCCGTAGTTCCGCTTTGCCGCCGCCACATCCGCCGCCGCCTGCTTAAATCGGCGAGAGGTGAGGATGCTCTTCGCCTGGTACAGCTTATAGCGGTCAGCGGTGTCAAATCCAGCCACATCTGCCACCTGCAGCACCTCAAATCGCTTCATAATGAGGGCTTGTCCTTGCGCGAGGAGGGTAAGCGCGCCGTCGATGTCGCCGCGGCGAGCCTTGAAGTCGGCGTGCTTCAGGTAGGCCAGCAGGGCCTCGAATACTTCCGCTTGCTCGCGCACGCCTTTGCGGGTGAACGATGCTGCAGCCACGCTTGGGTTAAGAGACGGGAGAGGCGGGAGATGTTCGAGGATGGTGGGAAAATTGGTGTCATGCAGAGCCTCACCATTCTCGCTGTCGTTGTCGCTGTCTTCCTCGGGCTCTTCGGGGGGTGCCGCAGGTGTCGGGTTGAACGGGGTCTCCGCATGGCGAGGCAGCTTAGTGGTGCGAGGTGGCGGAGAAGAATCGCATTTTTTCTCCGGTTTAGCAGATAAGTTTGTATCGTTTGCAGAAGTAGAACGTGTTGCTGTAGTTTGTTGCTGCTGTAACAGCGCCAGGAGCGCCGTTATCTGGTCCGGCGACAGACTCGGGGGGGTCGAAACTGGGGCGGGTGCCGGCGCATGGTCGTCTGCTTTCGCGGAGGCGCGGCCGCCTTGACCGCGCGTGCCTGTGCCACGCGCGAAGTCAGACGCGGCTGGCGTGACGTCAGCCGCGTCTGTCTTCTTCTCGCCAGGCGTGTGCTCCACGCGCTGCTCCTGACTGGAGCGAGGTGCACCAGCGGGAGCTCCGCTCGGTTCTCCTCCTCCGAGCAGGACCTCCACAGCAGTGGCCGGCGCCTTCCTTTTCGGGCGTCGGTCGGGTTCCCCGGATTTTTTTCCGGACCTCGGAAATCGGGCGGGCGCTCCCGTTCGTAGCCTCGTCTTGGTTGGTGTTGGTGGGAGCCATAGTTGACAGGTTGTGGTTAAGAATGTCCGTCAGCAGAGTAGAAGGAAAACAGAAGCGAGGGAGGGAACGTGTCTTTGCCGACGCGACGGGCAATAAAACTGAACTTGAAAGTTCAAAACTGAAAACGTGGGTGAGGCCAAATGGCCGAAACCCCTTCTTTTGTAGTCGGAGAAGGGCGAATAGCTCTTCGACGATGCCTTTTGGAGCTGCGTACAAGCTGCTGCGCTTTCACAATAAGTCATTTTAGAAAGTGTAACACTTTCGAAAATATACATTTTGCTGGCGAACAGCACCATTAGAACAAGTAGATTCATGAGCGGGTTGTTCAGCGCATGAACAACATTTCCCCGTAAATCCCAGTGCCCAACCGAACCCCTCTTTCTCCCTTCCTGCCCCCTACAATCGACCACCAATAGTGGTGGTTGCTTGTTCTAGAATGCAAGGCCAGGAGAGGAGATGCTTCATTCGCAGCTTCATTTGAAGTGGCGACCCCTGTAGTTCAGGGTTCCACGAACTTTCAAACAGTTGAGACCTTCACTGGCAACCACCCGATAGTGACGCAAGCATCATCCCCAACCTTGTCGCATTCTGAGCTCGGTCGAGAGCCCAACCACTGGTGTTGTTGCGTTCGTTTGACGCACCTCGTTGTGCGCCGCTAATCACGGATTTTGTTTTGGCGCGCAGACAATGTGTGCTGCCAGGCTGGCAGTGATTGGTCCAGTGCGGGATAAACACGGATGTGTTGGTTGGCAGGGGCGAGCCACCTGAAATAAGAGCGGGCAGTAGGTAGGAACATGGTTCTACTGCGCCCACCTTGAATGGGAAAGATGTGGGTGAAACTCATTAGGGTTCTCTACGTTAAAGTTAGATATAGCGTTTTGTAAAAACGGTTGAGTAGGGTATCGTGCAGAAGTGAAACTCTTGAAACACTTCGTGCACTTAGGATAACAGTCACTAAATATTTTTGGGGCACTTCATATGTAGTGACTGTTCTCACTGTTTCACAACACCGGGGAATTCCGCCCTCCGCAGTTGCGCACATCCCCAGAAAGAGGTCGGCCCGCCTTCTTTCTTGCGCTTGCCCGCTGCGCTCATCGGCCGGTTGCATGGTGTGGTGTGTGGTGTGGTGTGTGTATGGCTTGCTTGCTTCCCCCCTTTCCGCGGTCCCTCCTCTGCCTCTCCATTTCTCCGCCACTCGTGGCAGTGGTCGCTGGCACTGTTAGGTTTAAACAGCACCACAATCACACATTCACAGCCGTACCCTCTTCCATGCACACCTTGAACGTGGCACAGCTTTCTTACTGTATCAACCACTCCCGCCGCAAGTGTAACACCACCTACGTATTCCGTTTCCTAGGCACCGCTACCTTAGGATCCTGTGCTGTTTAGTTTAGAAGCTCGAATATAGCAGCTTGATACACCAAGGACTTTGTTGGTGCGGTGTGGTTGCACCAAAGGCTGCTCAGCGGCTCTGCTGTTAGCTGTTCTGCGATGATGGCTCCAGAAAGTCGGTCGCCTCTTTATCTTTTTTACAATACGCCGCTCGGCTCCGAACGTCTTTCGCGCTCCTGCCGGAAGTACGTGAACACTTCAGATTGCATGTTACCGCGTTGTTTCAATTTTGGCTGCAAGTGTCCGGAAAGTTTTATGTCGCCGGAGATAATATGGCGTTTCGGCGGGCCCTATCTTTGGGTGAATCTCCAACACAACTGTATTACTCTTCGCTGTCTTTTGCAGATTTTCCGTCACTCGGATTCCCTCTACCTCCTGTCCTCGCTCGCCTTTTGTGTACACACATTCCGTTCTCGTCCTCCTTTTCTAGGTTAGTCGTGAACCTACCTCGAGATTATCTTCTCTCTTTCACGTCACGTCGCACACCCTCATCATTCGTCCCCTTTGTTTCACACCGCTCCCAGTTCCCTCCCCACGCAGGCTCCCGTTCAGTCTCCTGCAATGGCCGCCCTCGCCGCAAGCAGCAAATGCGCATACACGCATGGGGCAATCCCGCCAAACGATTATCAAGACCACAGGCAATCCGCCTGCCAAAATATTTTCGCCGCCGATTCCGTCGCTCCGCAGTTCGCTCCTCGAGAATGCACCTCTCAGCATCTCGATCCCCATACTACAAACCTCCGTCGAGACACACTCCGCTGCTTTTTCTCCAGACGCGGCGCGGTCTGTAATAGACCCTGCGGGAGTGAACTCCCCGTTTGATTCTTTCCCCGTCGCATCCGATACTCAC